GAAAAGCCCAAACAACAAAAAAAACCAGACAACAAAAAAATAATCACTCTTACCGATGACACGGGTATGAAGAGTACCGCAGGAACTGGATTCATGTGGGCTACTAAAGTCTAAATTCCAGGGGGATGCTAGGAGTTTAGACTCTGGGGCATATGGGCAGTGTAGAGAACTAGGGATGCCTGTACAAGGTTTGGGGCAGGGAAATAATCATGCTGTTTGCTCTTACGCCGTACGTACTCTTTTCATGATGCCTGGTTATCCGTGTACTGAAGGTGTTGGCAACTTCTGAGAATGGGGGTTAGGTACCTAAGGATTGTCTTGGGTACGGAGATCTTCATTTTCAGTTGCAATGCGGGCCCCTCAAAACTGAATCCCTCCTTCTCTTTTTGCAAAGATTAGAATAGGAACTGTTCTCCCACTTGTTTAATCTGGGTTGCTGCTAAGGAACTTTAATATCTACAAAACACCTATATCATGGCAACGTAGTTTACGTACTTTAACAGCCACCCAGTAATGGGTCCTGCATGAGCCAGGACGCCATTGCATCCATGCAGAAGGGCCAGCTTGTCTTGCTGGGGAAGAGTGACACAGATGCCCTGGTGGACTTCCCAGTGGACATCACCTATGACGGCAAGAAATTCTCCTTTCAGGTGGAATTTCACTTACTGGTTCTTAGTAGGGAATAAGGGAATATATTATATAGGGACTCTATATAGGGACATATATATACATATACATATATATTATAGGGACTATACAGGGATTTGATTCCCTTATTCCCTACTTAACACCAGTAAGTTCAAAATAGTTGTCTGAGCATGGTTGTAGTCCATACCTCAAACTCTCATCTGTTCTTACTCTTCTGAACGCTCACACAACTGCTTATCATGGACAGCAAGAATTGTAAATTTGGGGCTGTGATTAATCATAATTCAGATCTCATTTGATTTTCCATTTCCTTTCCATATAATTGATTCGCGACCATTAGAGCAAGCAAAATCCCGCTATGAAAAGGCCCATGTGTCACTACATCATCCTACTTCCCATATCATGTTGACTATCTTCCTTTTGATATCCCAAACCCCAGACCCGTAAATCCTAAACCAGAAGCCTTGGCCTAGCTTTATTGAGGCTCCAATAGTATTTTTCAGGTGTCAAGGACCCGTTCCGACCTCTATGCCTTCACCATCAACAACAAGACTCTGAAGCTTACCTCTGGTTAGCAAGAAATGAAGAATTTCTATACAAGCCTGATATACCCTCTAGGGACTCCATGTAATCCCAAATAATGACATACCCTACACCTCAACCCTACAGTACAGAGTAGCTTCCATTTTCTTTTCCATCCCTTTAAACTTTACATAACGGTATTCAACCAGTTGATTTTCGATGTTCTTCTCCATTTCATTCTTCATGAGAGTAGTTTCCATTTTCTTTTCCATTCCCCTCCCTAAACCCTAAACTCTACAAAGTAGTATCCATTTTCTTTTCCATTCCTCAAACCCTTAGCCCTCAAACCTAAACTCTACAAAGTAGTTTCCATTTTTTCCATTCTCCTCCTAGACCCTAAACTCTACAAAGTAGCTTCCATTTTCTTTTACCATTCCCCTCCCTAAACCTTAAGCCCTAAACCCTGAAACCTAAACTCCACAAAGTAGTTTCCGTTGCTTTTTTCCCCCTCCATAAGCCCTAAATCCAACATTGTGTTTCCATTTTCTTTTCCATTCCCCTCTCTATCCAAGGAAGGCCAAGGTGCGTGAACAGCCTGACGGCTCTCTCTATGCCACTGGGTGTGAAGCTACAAACTGGGGGGGGGGTGGGGACCAGGTCCCCTTTAAAGAGGTTGTAGGGTTTTTATAGGGGCATGGGTGGATATAAGGCCCCCTTGAAAGAGGGTTTCATGTCTTTGCTTTTTCTGTGGCAGTGGGTCAGAGTTGTAGCCTTTCTGGGTATATTGCGGCGGCCTAGTTAGAGATACACATGAGTTTCTGTGTGACTGGGCTGATGCTAACATTCACGTGTGAAACCTTTCCTCCCCGAACATTGAACACAACTTTTTACTATGCAATCCCAGTTTCCATTTCATTTTCCATATATTCTTTTCTATTTGATTCTACATTATTGGGGGGCTTACTGTCATTTTTAATAGTATCAGATATTAGTCACTGTTATTACATCCTTGCTCCCTGCCTTGCTGGCTGATGTCAGGGTCATGGGGGTGTGGCATAGCGTAATGCTAGGCTTGTTTGCGACTTCTGCAGGATGTCGGACAATCAGGATTTCTTTTGTGTTTGTGGAGGGGTTGCACAGCACACTGTTGAAAAAGAACGCAGATTCCACGTATCGAGACCTGGCTAGATCAGTTGTAAGCTTACGAGCAGGAAGCATGAGAGTGTCCAATACCACACTTGTCGTGGCAACTTCTTGGTTTCACAATCCAACGCTTTTCTCTACAAGCTTCGTCAAGTCCCACAATGCATCCCTTCCGGGACCCTAGGATTATCAGCTTACTGTATCCCTATTCTCAGCCTGTATCCACCCCTTTTGGCAAGAAAGCTCAGAGGCCCCCAGACACTTACACCCCAAATCTCCTAAATCCTAGATCCTAAGCCTGAATCCGAAGTCCTAACCTAAACCCCTAAACCCCTAAACCCCTAAACCCCTAAACCCCTAAACCCCTAAACCCCAAACCCACTAAACCTCTAAGCCCTGAACCGAAGCCCTGCCATAGCCGGAGCTCAGGTGAGCATCGGCAACATCAGTCAGCAAGTGAAGGGCCAGGAAGAAGCCTTGGGACTGAGGCTGCGATCGTTAGGGTTTGGGGTTTAGGACTTTAGAGTTTAGGACTCAGGGACTTTAGGGTTTGGGACTCAGGACTATAGGGTTTAGGACTCGGGACTCAGGGTCAGGGACTTAGGATTCAGGGTTTAGGGATTTAGGGTTTAGAAGTACAGGGTTTAGGGATCACAGGTGCAGGCCTTGGGGTTGCAAGGTCTTTCAGCCTTGGCAACAGGGAAAACTGAATCCCTCAAGGCTCATCATTGGGGCGCAGACCATCATGGTCCCGACAGTTTCTCACTTTTGCAATCCCAAGCTTTTGACCTTTCGATTTTATGTTCAGCCATGCTAGAGCAGCAAGAACAGTAGTAGGCTTTTTAGTTACAAGACGAGTCTCCACCAAGATCTCACAGTCAAGCGCAGAAGCCCGAAGCAAGGTTTACGACCCCTCTGAGCTCCGCTCGGATGTGAACGGCAAGGTTGTGCGCTACTTGCATGATGAGGGTGCCGAGGTTGCCAAGGGAGAGTCCTACATTGAGCTGGAGGCCATGAAGATGATCATGTCCCTGAAGGCCGGTCCTCGAACGTAAGGCTTGGGTCAGCATTGGTGTAAAGCATCTGAGTTTATTGTAGACTTGAATTGCGTGTCCCAATGCCTCCGGCACAAGGAGCCGCATTAGTCCTTCAGGTATAAAGGCAACCTTGGAGTTTTCGGGTATATTGTACTATGACAATACTAGGATTAGTGTGGAATTTCATTGGTAGCTCCTGAGGCTTCCACGTTAAGGTCAAATCTTAAACAAATCCTAGGTTGAAAGTTTTACCACCCCCCTCCCTACGGGCCTTTGGTTAGCTAGGAATGCGGGAGTGGATCCTTATAGTAGGCCCTGTATAACCCATTAGAATAGTTTCCATTTTCTTTCATTCTTCCATTCACAGCTAACCAGAGGCAACCTATCCCTGAAGGCTGGTGAGACGGGGAAGATCTCGCACGCCCTGAGCCCAGGAAGTATCGTCTCCGCTGGTGAGGTGTTAGCCCGGCTTGAGCTCAAGGATCCCTCCAAGGTCAAGAAGACCCTCCGAAACCTTATGAGCAAACAGTTTTTGTGTTTAGGGTTTGGGGTTTGGGTTTAAGGGTGGGTATAGCCCCAAGATAAACCCTTAAACATGCAACAGAACTGGGCAAGTTAAGGATCTCGCCCTTTGAGGGAGACTTCCAGATCTCTGCCAAGCCAGAGCCGGATGTGCCTGCGCCCAAGGAAGACCTCTTGGCCTTCTTGGACGGCTTCTTGGCAGTCCCATGGGATATCGCTTTCTTTTTTCTTTTTAGGGTTTAGTGTTGGGGGTTTAGGGACACACTCCCATTATCATCATCTGCATGTAAAGCCCAGCGGAAATTGTGCTGTTATCGCTATATACATGTAAAGCCCAGCGGAAATTGTGCTGTTATCGCTATATACATGTAAAGCCGAGCGGAAATTGTGCACGTGAGGCTTCCACGCGGACACCAAGGGGCCGCAGCTAGTCGCGCCTCGTTCCCGCAACATGCACATGCCCTTTTTTGGGGGCTTTAGTCCCGAATGGAGAAGATCCAGTCACTGCAGAGCAGAAGCTCAATCCCTGAACCCTAGATTGCGCTGAAAGCTGCATAGTGTCAAATTTGTTGGGAGCACTTAACAAGGACAGCACCCCTTTTTCCACTGGCTGGTGTAGTATCTTAACCCTGAACGCTAATCACTAAACCAAGAGCTGACGGGGTTTGAGCAAAATCAAGAAAACAAACTCTGAAACCCAAACTCTGAGAGTTAAACAACCCTAGACCCTTAACACCGAACTCTAAAAAGACTAAACACTAACTTACTGTAGTAGGGCATCAGGGAGCACATTATACAGGGTTTACGTCTATTATTCCCTTATTCCCTACTGACCGCCAGTAAGCTAAGGAGCGGATGTTTGCCGGCTTCGGGAGCAGGGAGGCTGCGACTGAGACCGTGCGCGGCGTCCTAGTACCTTGGCTACCAATGCGGTGAAGGGTTTAGGGTTTAGGGTTTAGGGCTTTACGGTATAGGGTTTAGGGTATAGGGTTTAGGGTATAGGGTTTGGGGTTTAGGGTTGTAACAGTGAGACAATGATGGTAAAAATAATAGCAATAATAGTAGCGATGATCATAGTAAGAATAGTGGTAATAGTAATAATACTAGTAGTCCTCATGGTAATGGCAATAATAGTAAGGAACCTGCAGGGTTTAGGGGTGACCTACTGGTGGTTAAAAGGGAATAAGGGAGTGTAACCCCTATATAATCCCTCTATACTCAATTCCCTACTGTCCTGCTCATCCCCAGGAAATTGAGGTTTCTGAGAACCCGTAGGGTGTAAGAATCAGGTTGGAGCTTCTGGGCTGATATGGTTTAGGGTTCAGGGCTTAGGGTGGAGAGAATTTGGAATGAATATGGATCCGTGTTGCTCGTAGACTTGTGTTCAAAAAGTGGCATAATTAGGCGTATTCTCACTCTTGGGCAGGTATTGTCGTCATAATTCTTACGGCTGTTGCTTATGTTGATTGGTGGTCACCACTGTTTAGGAGAAGTACCTCTCGAACGAGCGTCCTTTTGCCGCGTCCATTGAGACCAAACAGCCTTACGACAAGCTTCTGCTGGACTTGATCAACCAGGGCAAAGACTCCCTGGAACAGGTGCGGAGCCATTTGAAAAGCATGGGAGGCCCGCGACAGGGGCCCATGTTCTACATTCCCTTATACTCGCTGTTGAGGTGCTCCTCATGGTGGCTGCCCACAACAAGCTGGCTGACCGCAGTGAGGTCGTAATGGGCGTCATCCGTGAGATGCTGGCCGCTGAGGGGTCCGGCATGTCCTGCATGTACGTCCCTGACATGCGCATGGAGGATGACATGGCAGCTGCCGTGCAGGAGACATCATCGGACGACATCGTCATCATCATCATCACCACCATCATCGTCATCATGTTCGTCCTCCTCATCATCATGAGCATCACTAACGCTGTGATCATCCACGTCACCACAACCGGGTTACACTTGTAGCAGTGGTGACTCATCCAAGTAGCCGCAGATTCAGGAGTGTAGTGAGTAGTGGAGGAGGCGGTGTGGTGGCGGTGGTGGCGATAGCGGTGGCGGCGGCGGCGGTGGTGGTGGCGGTGGTGTTGGTGGGTGATGGTGATGGGGTGGTGTCGGTGGTGTTGGTGCTGGTGGCGGTGGTGCTTGCGAGCAGCAGTAGCAGCAGCAATAGCACGAGCAGTAGCAATAGCAGAAGCAATAGCGATAGCAACAGCAGCAACGTAGCAGCAGCACTAGCAATAGCCGCAGCATTAGCAGTAGCAGTCGTGCTGCTTGTGGTGATGGTGATGGAGGAGCTTTGATCATTCCCCTGCAGAGGTAGCCATAGGAAGAATAAACCTGGCCTTATCACTTTGGCAATTGGCAATGACGCAGTGTGGAGTATCATCAAGAACACGGATTGTTATGACAGGAGAAGATTGTGGAGATTTCGCAGCTGCCAAGCTCGGCAGCCGTGGCCGGTGATTATGGCAACGTGCGGTACCTTAGCAGCTGAAATCCTGGGAATCGCAAGATTTGTGGCCATGGAGAAATCGGGGCTATAAGGACAACCTTTATTGTATTTCTGATTTAAGAAATCGACAACCGGCCATACACCGGCCTGGCAGACTTTTGCATTGAGTTGTTTTGCGTTTGGTCTCATGAATGGCTATTTCAGGTATTTGGCTCAGCAGCTGTTGGACACCATGCCGCAGGCGCTGTAAACTCGCAGTTGCTTAACCATCCTAGAACCCAAACACTCTTCAAGAAATCCCTATGGGCATCAGGCCCGAAATCCTGAACCCCTAACCTCACAGCATCTCTCCCACGTTATCGCAACTAATTTTTTCAGGATACTAATCATAAGGGCCTTGGGCCGATTAAGGGCGTAACCCCTTCTGCCTGAGGAGTCCTACGAGGAGCGTACCAAGCACTTCCGTGAGCAGTTGGCTGCCTTGAGTGACAAGGCTCTAGCCGAGCACAAGGAGGGTGCGGGATGTGGGGAAATCTGAGCAGTGGCATAAGTAATGCAGGTACCACTAGTAGGAGTAAGTGTAGTATTTGTAGCTGTGGGAAAAGAGCAGGGATAAGATGGGAAATAGGTAGAGAGAAGGTTTTAGGAGTAAGGAAAGCATTCCTCCCCCCCCACATGCTCTTATCAGATCGTTGCGCGAGGTGTTCTTTGAATATGCTCCTGCAGTCATGACAACGCATGTAATGCTAGGTGCCAGAGCATCAACCATTTAGAGCATCCATGCCTGCCATGTAGTAACGCATCCACTAATCGCGAGCGGACTGGTCTCCATCCTGCATATGAATTTATTCAAGGTAAGTAGTTTCTCGTGCTTCTCGGCCACATCGATCTGGCTCTCTGTTCTGGGGAAGCCTGGGATGTATCGCAATATTTCCTTTGTCTTCCCTTGAAGCGGACGTGCAACGCAAGAACCAGGAAACAGGTGACTCCTGCTACTGCTACTGTGCCAGTGCTGGGTATGGAAAGCATTTGGCGTACCGAGTTTGAGCATAGTGGCCCGAAGATAACCGTGGGGTTCAGAAGCACATCTCGGAAGACTCGGCCGGGTTTCGGGAGCCCGTGTGTTCATTTGTGTCCCTCATATCTCCCTTCATGACATTTCACCTGCTGCTGTTTGGAATCTTCGTTGGCGTATTTTTTGCAGTTTCCGTTGCAACCCAGTTGTGGCTCCGAGAATCTGATGCCCAGTCTCCGTGCTGTTTCCAGAAATCCCTCCAATCGCCAAACCTCCAAAAGTCCACCGAAAGAACAGCGCCAATCTTCTGAATGATTTCTTCGGCCAGTTGGGGAAGGCTCTGGGAGGCCAAATGATATTTGATCATCAAGGCCACGGAGTCCCTCAGCAGAAGTAACCGAGAAGGTTCTAAGACCACTATCCTGCTGTGAGGCTAAGGGGCCCAAGCTTCCAGAATGAACATGGGGTGGAGAACCCACAGCGTACTTCTTGTCTTAGCTGGTCGGTTCGTAGGGCATCTTTTCCTGAAACAGAGCCGGCACCGTGGCTGCAATATTGTTACTAGTAGTAGCAGTAGCAGTAGCAGCAGCAGCAGCAGCAGCAGCAGCAGTAGTAAAGTAAAGCAAAAGAAGTTGCATTCAATCTCATAGAAGATCAACACACATTTTAGGGATCAATGCTTCGCGGTACGGAGCTCGTAAGTAAGACGGAGTTGAGAGCACATGTCCAACAGTCTGTCTGTCTGCCTGCCTGTCCCCCCTCTCTCTCTCTCTCTCTCTCTCTCTCGTAGTTCTGCCAAGTAGGTCTGAGGCGTTCATAACAAGGAACCTTGTTACCTATTTCTTTCGGTCTCCAGTTTTCTGCAGACTTAGTAGAGCAGAAATCCCAAGTAAGCACCAATCCTCGACATCCATAAGCTCTAAACCCCAAGAGGAACTCCCTGGAGCCGTGGATGGTGGCTTAGAGATGGAGCTCTTGGTGGAAGCCTTGAGTGACTCCGATGCCAAGATCCAGGAGTGATACTCTTGTAGTTGTCGAGGAATCGCCAACAAATTGCAGGGTTGCTGTTCAGGAGCTGAAATGGAGTTACCGTGCTTAGATATCATATCCATAGTATCTCAGTAATTCAATCTAAGTTCCTTACCAGCAAGCCTATTTGTTTAGAAGTCAATTGCGATTGAGGGGTGAACCCCAATGGCCATTTGTGCCCCCAACCCGTCGATGACGTGTGGTGGTCGATGCCACTTTTGACCTTTCCTGGTAGCCCTGAGGCCAGTTGAGATGGGCAGTTCTCGTGATAAGGCCTTGTATAAGTCTTATTTTCCACATAGACGCGTTGAATCATGCTCATAGATCTATATTGGAATTTTCGGAATTTTCGGANNTGTGGATCATGGGGGGGGGGGGGGTTAGCATCTATATGTAAAACGTAGCTACATCTCTTGTCAGGCTCTAGAGTTTAGGGCCAGGATAAGCTCCCCTCCTTGGTAGCTCCCAACCTGACAAGTCTTTAGAAGCAAGCCTTTGCGTTGCTTAAGCTGTAAACAGTCATCCCTTAAAAGGAGAAAGCTATGCATGCGTACATCTCCTGGCTCGCAGCACCAAGCCAGCCACTGGGTCTGTGAGAGTTTGGGAGAGGCAGTTCCAAGGTTTTTGGAAAATGGATTTGGTAAGGACGCATGAGACATAACAAGTTGTAGCAGCGGGTGTCTGCTCGCTTTTTGCGCTGATGCTTGGCATTTTTGCTGTTGTATATTATACTATAGTATACTATAGTATACTATGGTTAACTATGGTATAGTATGATATAGTATACTATAGTATACTATAGTGTAGTATAATGCATTATTGTCTTCCTTGGCGGCGGTGAAGGCTGACCAAAGTGGAGGTTGCCGGAGCCAAATCGGCAGTTTGGACACAGTTCTTCCCCGTGGCTGCCGGCCAGGAGCACAGGACCCCTCGCTGCTCTTGACCCAAAGCCCTGAAGACTAGTAGTACAACTCTAAGGTAGAGAATTAGGGTCTAGGATTGATGCTTTGGGATCTGGATCTGGACTGCCAAACGCAGCCATCACTAGGTTTGTTTTTTTTGATACTGTGGCAGCGGGCCAGGAGCACCACCGTCACGGCCTCCTCACCGTGACGCCAGATTTTTGGCCAGCTTTTGGGAAGTGTTGCCTAGGAGGATAATTAGCAATTCGTGAATACTTCGCGATGCGAAGATAAGGATATTGCATAGGAACACAAGTTCAGATGTTGCATCGTAGCAGGGGCTATCCGCCCACAAGGGAAGCAACATTGAGCATTCTCTCGCAAGGGAAGAACGCACGTAGCTATGTTGCCGATAATGACAATGTCCACGAAAAATACATGAAGACGATGATAAGGTTCAACAATAGCTCTTTGGTCTCACGCAGCATACTCAGCTAGTTCGTTCAGAATGCCTGGTTTGCCCAGCTGAAGGGTTTTGCGCCCACAGCACAGGAGCTTTCAAAGTTCGAGCTGGATGAGAAGCTGCTGAGCCCGCTGATCAAGCAGCAGACGGCTCAGGGTGTCCCGGTGAACTTCCTCCACATCGTGGCGGGACGTGACGCCTTCCCCAGCATCACGGACCGAACACTGCTCCTGGGCGGCGTCTTACCTATTCCCACCGACCTTAAATGGACGTAGATGTATAGTCACTGCATACCTTAGTACGAGCCCCCTACTGCTGTTGAGCCAGGTTCTACAACACGGACTCTGCACTCGAGAAGGTGATGAAGTATTTCCAGCAGCTGTTCACGAAGCAGACAGAGCTCCTGAAGTCAGCAGGCGTGGGCGAGATCTTCGTGGCCTTGCCCCAGCCTCCCCGCCACCCGCGCTTTGTGAAGTTCAGCTTGGACCCCACTACCGAGGAGTGGTCTGAGAGTGAGCTGTCCAGGGACCTGTGGCCGTCCTTCACGGGTTTGCTGGAGCTAAGCTCGCTCCAGCGACTCTATTCCCTTCAGCGCATCCACAAGGAGGTGCGGCCAACCTCCCATATCTACTTGGCCACGCCCCCAATGATCAGCGGCAAGGCCACCACATCGGAGCTGCTGATGCGGGCCCTCTTCCTGTCGGTGAGCAAAGAGTCCTTTGGCCAAAGCTTGACGGACAGCTTGGACCTCGCATTGGAGGAAGTGGAGCATGCCATGCTGGATCCGCGTGTAGCCAAGCTGGGCCCTTCGGTGACTAGCAGGATCTTTGTGCACTTCGTGGGTGAGCTGGACATGGAGCTTGGAGAGCTGGAGCAGCGCTTCACAGACACCGTGAACAGCCATGTGGGTCACCGCAGCTCGGACATCAAGCTTTGCGTAGATGAGATCGAGGTTAAGGTGCATCGGAAGGCGGGTTCATCCATCGAGACGCTCCGTCTCTCCCTGTCCTCTTTGGGCGGTGGCTTCTTGAAACCAAAGATGTTGAGGGAGTTCCCGGATCCCGTGACTGGCTTCCCGCTCCACTGGGAGGCAGCCAAGGAGGGCGCAGCCCTGAGCCCGCTCGAGCACCCGCATGTGGCCGACCGTGCGGCCTTGAGCCGCTACCAGGCCAAGCGTGTGGCGGCCCGTCGTGCAGGTTCCACCTATGCCTTTGACCTGCCTGGTATGCTCCAGCTTGGTCTGACCATGAAGTGGATCGCTGCCACCAACGGTGCCAGCTCCCCAAGAGAGACCCGCAAGGATCTTGGAGGCTCCAGGAAGCGCAGCCCGTCACCCCGTGGCCGGAGCATGACAGTGCCCTCCAAGATCCCCGAAGGTGTCCCCAAGGACCTCCTGACTGCTGTGGAGTTGGTGATGGACTGGTCCAAGATGGAGCTTGTGGAGACGCAGCGCCCAGAGGGTTCCAACGATGTGGGCATGTTGGCCTGGAAGCTGACCATGAAGACCCCGGAGTACCCAGAAGGCCGTGTCGTGATCCTCATTGCCAACGATGTGACCTTCCAAGCCGGCTCCTTCGGCGTGCGGGAGGACCGTCTGGAACCCCCCTGCCACCTACCCATGCCAGACATCTAAAGCTTTCAAATGCCAGGACCAATTCTTCCAGAAGGCCTCTGAGCATGCCAGCAGCTGGCACAGATTTGAAAATCTTTGCTTCAATTCTTCAGGCATAGCTCTACATACAACGCACATTGTGCCAAATGAATTTCTGACCCTCCAACTGCGGAGCAGGAAAGCTGGGACTCCCCCGCGTTTACGTGTCCTGCAACAGCGGCGCCCGCGTGGGGCCACTCGGTCATTTTGGGGTGCCTTTTTGTGTCCTTCAAGCGGGATTTGCATCGCGTGGATGGTTCATATGGGGACCGAGCTTAAGCAATACGCATAATGCTTTGACTAACCATCCCAAACAAAAGAGTGAGAGCAAATGGAACCGGAATTACAATTAGCTCAACCAGTGAAACGTAAATGATGACAGCAAGCTGAAGTACAAGCAGCAGGCACGCTGATTGAAGCGTTCGCTGCTTCGCCTTTATGATGCCCAGATTGCTACACACGACTGGGTTTGGGAATGTACCAAAGCCGGGACTTTCCCGCATTAGTGGCAGGATCCTTTGGGATCCAGGTTCACAGCCATTAGAAGGCAATCATGGGGCTTCTTCTCAACAACTGTGTATGGGGATCACTTCCAGAAAGTCCCAAGCTGCGAGAAACACGAAAAGGTTGGTAGAGGAGCTCAAGCCCTTGTACAAGATCCAGTGGTGGGACCCCTCGGACTGTGGCAAAGGCTTCGAGTGGCTTGCTGGATTTAGTGTTTAGGGCTATTCTAAAGTCTTTTCCGTTCATCATACCGTAGTTGCATTGTTTAAGTTTGAAGTTTGAAGCGTCAATGGTTTTGTTCGAGTGTCGCAAAAGCAAGGTACCTGTACCTCACCAAGGAAGACTACGAAAAGCTGCCTGCAGGTGACGACGCCTAAAATCAATCAAGACCATCCAAAACGCGAGGGTTCTCCTCATCAAGAAGTGACAATGGGCTTTCACATCCTAGTCCTGGTGTCGTTAAAGCTGTCTGCTTCCAACAAACTTCCTACGTCATCCTGCAGTGTACGGACATGGTCTCCATGTTATACCTGAGTTGCTGTTCAGAAACTTAGAGAAGTGACCACGGCACATGGTAACATGCTGGGATGATGGTAAGTTAGTTTATGCTCCTCAACAGCAGCCGCGTACTGCAAACCCCAAAGGTCGGACTTATATCCTGAACTCCTGGAACCCTATTCTGAGGGCCTGAATGATTACGATTGTTTTTCAGTCAGGGTTATTTGAGGTACCCTATACCAGTTTTGTGCAGCGGATCTGGAACCATGGTGTTGAGAATTATTTAGGTCCTTGCATAAATGATTACACAGGCACGGTGGAGGCGCGCAAGGTCTCTGAAGGCGGCGAGGAGCGATACATCCTGGATGCCATCATTGGCGAGGGTCTCAAGAGCACCTTTGCTGCTGTTATGCTCGGTATGATCGTTTGACAACGTAACGCAAGTATGACGCAGCTTGTCTAGAGATCTTGAGTTGGCAGCAACCCTTCGTGGGTGAACCCCGTAGATGCAGCATTTTGTTTCATGCTGAACTTGGTAACCATCTAGTTTTCTGGGATATGGGGCTACGGGCTAAAGAGCGGCAAAACTCAGGAAGTTGAGCCTTACGCCTCTCGACCAGTTGAGAAGTACGCCTTTCACCCGAAGGCTCACACCCCAAGGCCTCAAACTCCCACTTCGTTAACACCAAACCCTCACCACCTGAAGGCACGGAGGGTGGTATTGGAGTTGAGAATCTCCAGGGCAGTGGCCTCATCGCTGGCGAGACAAGCATCTTGTACAATCCTGGCATCTGATTGGGGTCCTGGGTTTAGGAACTTCTGGTTTTGGGTCAAAGTCAAGTTTGGTGCATGCTGCAATGCCCACGTTCAATGTGGTTGATTGCGCTGACTATGTCTTAACATGCTAGGACCTGCCAGGATGCTTAATTACAGGGATCCCAAAAGAATCTCAACGTAACGTTGAGAACTCTATCTTCTGCGTTGCCACCCCATATAATTCTGCTTCAAGTCTAGGCATGATTCATGCGTATCAGGAGACGATACCCAGAAACCTTCACCGTCACTCGTAAACCGTAAACGAAGACCTCCCAGATACCCATTACAATGGCCCTTAACCCTAGCACAATGGGTATATTAGCTATTAATGAATTGATACGGTGGTCTCCCAAAGTATGGGTCCCCAATAATAACTCCACAACAGAATAATCCTTATTAAAGGAAACCCCAAAAAGATACCCGTAGGTTGGGAGGTCCATGGGTATGTCCATAAACCCTAAACCCGTCCATGGATCCAGGCAGGGCCTACCAAGAGACCTTCACACTCTCATACATCACTGGCCGCTCTGTGGGTATTGGCGCCTACCTGTACCTTGGGTACACTTTACTTTCTGTTAGGATCATGTAGGCATTATGTTCCATTATGTTCCCTTTCATTCTACTATCTACCGACCGCCAGTAAGTTTAGGCTTCAGGGTTCAGAGCAGACAATTCATGCGGACTTCTAGATCTCGTTGATCTGACGAAGCCCTGCAAGTGATGAGCATCTTGTAGAGCTATTGACTATTACTATTTACTATTTACTATTTACTATTTTAGGTCTTGTACGTGGATAGGTGACTTCAAGGCAACATCCTAAAACCTAAGCCCATGAGCTCAGGAACCGCCTTGGCCAGCGCAACATCCAGATGGTCAGCAGCCCTATGATCCTGACAGGGCTCCTTAGTCTGACTTGAGGGAATTTCAACAAGAACTTGGTGATTTGGAGTAGCATACCGTACATGTTTTGAAATAATGTTGTTCTACTGTACTTCTAAAAGGGGTTTGGCTTAGGGGAACGGATCGGGACCCGGGTCCTAGAGTCGTTCTGCAGGCTTCATGTGTGTCTAGGGTGCAGGCTTCGCAGGGTTGAGCTAGCCGCAGGGAATCCACATTACTTGGGTTAACGCATGGGGAAGCACTTTTGGAGGGAGGCTGCCAGTAACCACGTTCCGGGACACAGTCGATCTACTTCCCGCATCTTCAGCGCACAGGCTTCCTAAATAGAACAAGGCACGTATAGAGCCTTGTTAAACCCATATGCATTTGCAGGCACATTGCCCTCGACAGTTCGCGATGTCGGCTTGAAAGTATAGGGTGACGTGCAGCTAGCAATGCGCGCGCGTCTGTAAAATGTACCCGCGTCAGTGAGACCTGTGGTTTTCACTCATATGTAATTCGCGATAGCTCGCCTCAGTGCAAAAGAACTGCAAGAACTCCTGATGCGCTGGCGCTGGGACCGCGTCAGCAAGACGTATGTTTCTGCGATAGTGATTGATACAAGAAAAGAAGGTTCAAAGGGTTCTCAAATATTTGCACTGCTGAAGTTTTAAAACTTCTCAGTACGCCACAAGTTTACAGCTGAGCCCCTGGATAAGATCAGGTACTCGGCCCTGAACAAGCTCTTGGGCAAGAACGTGTATTCTTCGCAAGACCAGCTGGGAGGTGTTACCTGAGACATAGAAAAGAGGGAATCTCACCAGGAGTCTTGTCCACCCTGCTCAGTTCCCCGAACGAGGGGTTTTCCCAAAATTGGGGGTCCCTGTAATAAGGACCAATAGTATTTTAGGGTCTATATTGGGGTTCCCCTATCTAGGGAACTTGCCACTGTTCCCCTTTATCTTCTGGTGAGGGTTCATAACACCCCCTTCACCACTGGAAAAGCCCTGCGAGGCCCGCAGATCATGGTGCCAAATGGTGTGACGCACCAAGTGGTGAGGGATGACCAGGACGGTGCGTTTGGTACAGGGTTTAGGGTTCGGGTTCAGGGTTTGGGTATAGGGTTTAGGGTTTAGGTTTGCAGGAAATTGCTGTTTCCAAAATGTAGGTCCACCTTAAGCAACGACACCTATAGTTGTAGGATAGGGGCTCCCACAAGGCACATCCAATTTGGGGCTCCCTTCCAGAAAACAAGCCCTCTGATATTTTTTACATCGTTGCCCTCATTCCTTGCATTCGCTATCATCATTTACATTTGTGCTTTGATACCTGTCACGTGTATTTGTCGACAGCAACCGGAAGGAGGGTATGTCTGCTATCCTGGACTGGCTGTCCTACGTCCCCAAGGATGTCCCTGGAGCAATGATGAGACAAACTTTGCAATTTGTTGCGGTTTAGGGTTTAGGGTTCTTTGTTTGGTTTGCCAAATGACGCTGCCCATGAACGGGCATGGCGATTTGCGAAGGTGAGTTGGGGTAGATCTTCCAGGGCAAGGCAGGAACATCCTTTCCTAACCTCTGCAACATTCGTATAGAGGTGTTTCTCAAAATGCGCCGCATCATGGAGACCCCCATAATCCCCCTAAAATCTCCATGATGCTTCCTGTTTCCAGAAGCCCTGTATCATGGTCGGCATGTGGTGGTTGAATAGGATGCTCATATGCGCTCATGATCATCCTTGGGACTTTCTGTGCTTGGTGCTCCACCGTGAGGTATTGAGGATGGGTAGGTGAGGCGGGGTGCTTAACTAAGCCAAATCCTCTTCTGATTGCGAAGTATTCCAAACAAAATTCTGATAAGAGCTAGGATCTGTCGGGTCTGTGATTTTGTGGACCCCCAAGCCCGAAGCCCAAGTAGGAGTTCTCAAAGGTCACCATGGGATCCTGAATTGCTATCCCCAAGAATCCCGCTTGAAATTCCCATGGGCCCCTGAGGTCCCCCAGCTCGCAAAGCCCGACCCTGAACCCTAAAGATCCGCATTCGCCCAATCAAAGGAGCCTAAAACCCTTAAATCCGCAATCCGGAGCTAATCCTAAAGCTTGAACCTTGAATCCTAAACAGTGAACCCCATATAACCCAGTATAGGAGTTTCCATTTTATTTTCCAATATCCCAATATAACCCCAATATAATCTCCATATTACCTCGAAGGGGCCCTAAACCCAAAGCCTTATAGTCCCCCTTAAGTAGATAGAACATGGGGTATATGGGGATCTCATTATAATATATCCAAAGCCATATTCTATCTGCTTAAGCGAAACCCTAAGCCGCCCAATCAGTGCCTATCCTAAACTCTAAACCCCAAACCCACCTATATCCCTTAAACCCTAAACCCTAAACCCTCTATCCCTGAAACCCTAAGCCGTGTGAGAAAGGTCTCCTGCCTACCCCCAGTGTGCCAGCCCTCCGGCAGCGACCCCTGGGATCGCGATGTGGAGTTCGAGCCATCGTTGCCCCTGGATGGCCCAGGTTTAGGATTTAGGGTTTAGGGCTTAGGGTTTAGGGTTTAGGATTTAGGGTTTAGGGTTTTGACGTGGGGGTTGCTGATGGAAATCCTGAAGGGGTCCTCCCAGGTGCCTCTTGTTTTCTTAGATGTAGGATCCTAGGGCTCCGTGGTTCCACTACCTTCTTCTGCATGTGGTCAAAGTGTGTATTCCGTGCCTTGTTGCCTTCCTGGTGGTCATTTGATATCAGCGTAGTGGGTGCCGGCATGCGAGGGCAGGGATTAAGTGTTTTCCAAGCCATGTCACTGCAGTAATCCTGGCTCCCCAAAAGCCCTTAGCAAGGCACAGTCTACACTCATATGCGAATACTTACAAAAGAGCACCCGAACCCTAAACCCTCAGCCTTAAGAATATAACCCCAATATTACCCCAACATACACCCAATATAACCTAATGTTACCCCAATAGAACTCGAATATTACCCCAATATAGTTCTAATATTACCCTATATACATATATAGATGATTTCGGAAGTTCTCGTGGCCCAGGCTTCCTTATGACCCCCGTGACTTCCTCCGCGGTGTGATCGACCACGACGGCTCTCGCAAGCGCGGCTTCTTTGATGCGGGCTCCTGGACGGAGCCACTTGGAAGATGGCGAACTATGTTTTCCACAGGTTATAGTCCCCCTTAAGTAGATAGAACATGGGGTATATGGGAATCTTATTATAATATACCCAAAGCCATATTCTATCTACTTAAGGGGGACTATAGTTGCCTTTTTATAGGCCCTGTCTGGAGTTTTTTTGGAGCTTCTCAACCCGACAAAGGTACCTGGAGGGATGGGGACGAACTGTCATTGTTGCTAGATGGCACTTTGGCATGTGTCTGACTTTTTCCTGCAATGGGAATGGCAGAGAATCTCGTGCGTAGCCAGACGGACTCCAATCCAGGAAGGCACGCTTCGAGATTGGTCTCTGGCCCTGAACTCTAAACCTAAAACCCCAAGCCCCAAACTCTATCCAGCGAAGTACCGCTAGGAAGCCGCTAGGCCAGCACAGATGGCCGCTCATGGTTTGACAGAACAAGCTCCGCGGTAAAGCTCTCTGCATATCCAACCAATGCAATAAGAAACATAGGATTGTTAGTCAGTCGGTTTCAAGCTCCAGACATGAGGCGGCACGCGGGGGAAACCGCATTTCCAACCATTCTGGGAAACCCTAACCCGTAAACCCTAACCTCAAATGCGTGGCAAATCCAGGTTGGGCGCGCTCGCCTGGGTGGCATGCCCATGGGCGTGACTGGGGAAGATTCAAGCATACCTTCGGTTGGGCACAAGGGATACGGGTAACTATAGTAGGGTCCGCGAGTATTCCTAGTAAACCACGATTAGTGGGTGGGGCCCTAACCTAAGCCTACTTTCCCAGCATGAAAGTTTCTCAAAATAGTGTGGGGGATATGACAAAAGGGGCCGATAAACACCTCTGTCCTTCACCGATAAACACTTCTGTCCTTTAGCATGGAGGCTTTCTGAGGCTGCATTTTAGTTCAGGAGTTTAGGAGGTTTTCATCAGGACCATGAACGAATAGACTGTACTTTCAATTGAGAAGGGCTGAAAATGGATCCAGAATTTTGAGACAAGTAGCACTGTCCCTGGAATCCGCTAAGCCCTGTTACCCGAAAGGCATACTTCCAACAATTAGGGGCATATTGAAAGTTTGTAATTGGTCTCATGAGTTCTCCCAAGCAGGCAAAATCCTTCAAAGGGCCTGCAACATTCAAGTGAAAGAGATGACTCAATTTTCATTGGACGATTATTGTTTCCCTTTGATTGGTCTGCTTTATAGGAAGAATATAGTCTTTATAGAAGGCTGGGTGGGGAAATTTATCACGCAGTAATCTCCTATTTAATAAAACTACACAGACTCAAACATCAAGACGCTCAGGTTGATTACTGCACCCACTCTCTAACAGTTGGGCAATATGAGTTATATACTTCTGTATAGCCCGAATATGACCCCGAATATAGACTGTTACAGGGTGGGGGCAGTACCCAGCACTTAGGTGATTGCCGTGGAGACACGCAGTGTGGAGCGCTTGGTTCCTGCGGACCCCTCCAACCCTGCCAGCTGCGAGGTCAAGGAGGCTCCTTGAAAAGGGCATATGGAAGTTCTGTAGGGTTACCTAGGGACACATGTGGTTTAGGGTTTCCAACAACTACAAGGGGCTCGTATGCTAAGGATTGCTGTGGCTTATATATGCGGTACCCCTTCTCCTGGAAACACCTACAGGCACCATATCATATTGCAGTTGAGCAAACTCCCATGGAGAGTACTTAACCAATCCCTTTGTATCCCCCGTACATTCCCAGGATTCCTAAGAGCACCCACTTGTTGAGAGACCACATTTTGGATGGCTAGTTTGGGACCCTTTGAATAGTTCTTTTGCGGCTGTGTTCGGGCTTCCATGTTAGCTTTGGGAAATTACAGGCATCATCTTCGAAATAGCATGAAGAAGGGTCTTCGTTGGGATCGGCATGGATCGACTTGTGTTCGGGGGTGGGACTGGGAGGTTAGGGTTTGGGTTCTAGGAGGATGCGGCCGACAACCTCTTGAAGCCATAAAGTAAACTTCAAACCAACAGAATAACAATAACAAAGATAGCAAGAACAGTAATCATGGTTCTGATACTAGGACGTCTTGCAGAGCTGTGTGTTGCCTCTCCTTGCAACCCACCGCTGTGAGCAAAACGGAAGCTTGATTTGTCCTGAGGGTATAATGAATGTGGTAGTTTCCCTACACAGGGGTACCCAAAAAGGTACCCCTAATTTTGGGAAGCCCCCATGTAGTCATGTAGTCGTTAAGCTTTCCTCGCTGAACGGCTCATTCTCGCACTAGCAGATGTAGAACGCACGTGTCATAAGTCCTAAAGGCCTCATGTATTCTGGGTATAGTACAGCCGAATTAAAGCCGCTTACTTATTTGAATCCCCAGGAGTGCCTGCAGTTTAGCCCTATATCCCCTTCTAACAAGCCTTTGAGAAACCGGCATCTGGAAAGAACATACCTGTATCCGCTTCCCTATATAATCCTATGTTAACCTCATATTAGCCCTGTACAACCCTATACAACCCTAGATAACCCTACATAATCCTATATAATCCTATAAAACCTTATATAACCCTACATAACCCCGTATAACCCTAGATAACCTTCCACCATCCAGGTGAACGGCGGTAAGGTCTGGTTCCCAGACAGCGCCTTCAAGACAGCCCAGGCTTTGAAGGACTTCAATCGAGGTGACCCGGAGTTTCTGGATTACACGTTAAAGGGGCCTAATATTATGGTATATCATGGTAGATTATAGTACATTATAGTTTATTATGGTATATTTCAGTTACCTTAGAAGGCATCTAGCACGGGTTATATGGAGTTGTATGGGGGTATACAGGTGGGGAATATCGGGTTTGCTTGGGATAGGCCCCCCACGCAGTATTAGCGGTACAGCGGGAACATAAGAGGTCCTTGTGGGCGGAATGATGGGGGCCAGCGAACAGTTGAGGCGAGAACTTGCCAGCAATCATCTTCGCCAACTGGCGTGGCTTTTCTGGCGGGACCAGGGACACCAGGCTGTTCGAATGGAAAGTGAAGTGGAAATCAGGGCTAAATAGGGATTCTACACTGATATTACTTTCAAAAAATGAGAAATCAAGTGGATCATAAAATGGAAACGGGGCTTTGGGTGTGAAGGATTCTGCTCTCCCCCAAGCGCACCCTTATTTCTTTTCGGAGGCCCTGGCATGCCCCTGCAGAAATCCATTCTACATTGACTACATCCTACATTCTCAGCAGTTCATAGGAAATGCCGACATGGACTCATATCCCTAAGAAGTTGTCACATGTAGGACAGGGGCATCATCACGTCTGGACAACTTAGGACATGTACAACGAGATCCTGAAGTTTGGAGCTATGATCGTGGATGCATTGGTGGAGTGCCTGGGCGCTCCTTTCTAGACATGCTGATGTGCTTCCGTTAGTTACTGGTTCTGCTCGAAGGGGTTGCAGAAAAGCTTTCCTCACCGGATTTGAAAGTTGCTATGTTGGGGTACCGGAAGCCCCAAGCTATGAAGCTCAACGATGCTAGCAACGCTTGGCATCGCTGCGGCAGCTTTTGTCTTCATGTGTTGTCCCTGAGAATTGCAGTGGTCTGTGAATGATGGCCTTCGGGAGAGCAGAGGTACGAGCATCCTATCTTCATCTACATCCCAAAGCACGGTGACTCGGACGGCCTTGGGACATGGTATTCCAAGAAGAGCTACTACACCCATTGCATAAAGTGAAGCCATACCTTCTATTCGAGCACTTTGAATGCAAAGCGTTCTTCTTTTTGCCGCTTGCAAGTTCAAAGTTATCAGTGCATAGTGCCCGAGTGAACCCCAGCGATCAATAAAGGAACCTTTTGGTTTGAGAAGCCCCCGCACATGTCCACATGGCTTCATTCAACTGTTGGACAATCCTGGCGAATTTCGTGCGAAATCCTCACAAAATGCCTCGGGAGTTTTCCCCTACAGGCTCGTACGTACGTGACAGGCAAGCTTTGCGTTCTATTACAGGATCTGGTAAATCCAAAGCTCTGCATCTTTCCGGACCCTGAAAGTCCTGAACCCAAAGCCATGAAACATGAACCCCCTGGAACCACTCATTCTTGAACCTCTTGAGTTTAGGGTTGGCGGTTAATGAAGGGTTAAGGGCAGCAGTAAGGTTCCCCTAGCCGAATGGCAGTTGCCAGTGTAAGGCAGTGACCCATGACCTCACAACACCTCTTCACGCACTTGCCCCTAAGCGCCAGGGAAAGCTAACGGTAAGCAGCCATTGAAACGCTCATAAAACGCGAGAAATCCGTAATCGTTGAAATCCTCAAAGCTAAAAGTCCTGAAGGCCGTTCAGCAACACTGCAGGGATTCTATAGGTCGTAGCCAGCCTTCCACAGAGACTTTATGAGACGCTTTCAACCACCCTCAAACGACCGCAGTGACAATTTGAACGGAAGTAACTGGGTAAGGCGTGAGAAAATTGCATAAGCCCATGCAGGGTTTTGCCATGTGGGAAGGGGAGCTTCAACCCTTGAAGTCTCACGGCTCTAATGGTCAGCGCTTTAGATTGGACTTTAAACCCTGAGCCTCAACAACATCTTAGTGTGTCAAACAACGGTCATTGTAGAAACAAAGGAAATCATCCCTAAAATAAAGGGACTCTATATACCTACTATAATAAAGGGATATTATATACCTACTATATTCTTGAGGTTACGGGTTTGGGGTTCCCAGTAGAGTCCCTTTATATAAGAACTTTGCGAAAAGCTTTCGTTGGAGGTGAGCTTCGTGGTGGTGCCTGGGTGGTCATTGACCCTGCCATCAACCCTGCCCCTGGGATCTCCTTCATGTCCAGGGGTTCTTCGGGTAGGGGCTTCGGGGAGAGCTAAGGGAATCCCAGAAATATCTAGGGAGTGTCATAGGAGAGGCTATCGCGGGTGGTTTTTGGTGCGGCTTGATGATTGGGCTAGACAGTTGACAAGAATATGTCCAGGGCTGAGACTACAGTCGTCCTCCAAGGTTCGGATGTCAGGTGAAAAGATTAGGTGTAGGCACTGGGACGAGTGGATCATGGTGTTTGATAATGGTTTCCATTTTCTTTTGCATTATCTACATACACGTACCCAAGACCCAAAACCCCCAAACACCTCAAACCCCCAAATATTCAAGAGACGGTGCGAACGTTTCATCAGGAGTATTCCTCAGCTTGCATAGCATCCTCCTTGGGCCATGAGAAAGGTAGGTGCACTGCGAATCTGCAATCATTTCACGCAGGAGGCTTTGCCCCAACAAGCGCCTTTAAGAGCGAGGTATTTCAGTGGCTCAGAGGGCGAATGACCATGAAAATGTAGGTTTAGGGTACAGGCCTTAGGCTTCTGGGTCAAGAAACATCCTGAGTCCTAAGCTCCAGACTTTTACACCCACTATGAACCCCTACATAGCCCCAGTTTCAATTTCATTTTACATATTCGTTTCCATTTGATTCTCCATTTCTGGGAGTTATATCCGTTTCATTCTCCGTAATCACATAACTTTAATAAACACTGAACCTCAAACCCTAAATAGTAGGTTCCACTTTCCATTTCCCTTACATACCCCCCATATATCCCTATATATGCCATTGTATGCCTACGTATACTTATCTACATATATATATACATATATGATATACCTTTGTATCCCAATATATATATATATACATATGCCTATATATACTGAAATGCCCCGACAACAATCCTAAGGCTTAAACCTTAAGCGCGAACCTTCCCCCTCCCCCAAAAGAAACCAAAAAAACAGCCAGGACAAGATGGAGATGTACGCAGACGAGGATGCCCGTGGCGGCATTCTCGAGCCCCCAGGCCTGCTAGCATCTTGAAATGGGATTTAGGGTTTAGGGTATAGAATTTGGGGTGTAGGGTGTAGGATTTGGGGTTGAGGATTTAGGGTTTAGGGTTGATGATTTAGGATTTAGGGTTTTCTATGGCTTTTTTCAAGGTGTGACAGATCTCCTGCCTCCAGACACTTGCAAAGACGTGAACCCCGGCAATCCAAAGCTGCCCAACTCAGGTTATAAGATTCTCTTTCCCAACATCTTCGCACAAGCCGCAAACTCAAAGCGCATACCTAGGACCTAGACCTTCAGCGAAATTATGTTCCCCGAAAAGCCCAGCCAAAACTTTAAACCCTCGAAGCCCGTTGCCCTAAACCGCTGATCTGGGGCAGGAGACACGATCACGTCCCGGGCGCAGTTCATATCCATGCCCAACCTTGCACAGCCCTTGATACCAAAAACAACATTGAAAAGCCCTGGAAATTCCAAACAGCAAGATCCTTATCCTCGGAGAGGCATCGTGGAGGTCAAGTACCGTGCCCCGCAGCAGCTGGAGGCGTTTTTCTACAGTGCTAGGTGGCGGGTTTCGTGGGCGGGCTGCCTGATTACTCCGAAGTGCAGAGATTGGAGTCCAGTGTTGTAGATTCTTCATTTGCACTCGAAGATTTGTACCCAGTAGCCGCCATCTGGTTTACAAAACGATCAGCACCAAGCATGAAGGCACTAGAGGGTCAGGCAGTTATGAAGCGTATCTGGCAAGTCGCTACAGGGTTTTCGAACAGAGCTGAAGGCTGAGCGGGTCTTCTAATGTCTTTAAACGTTTCTGCGGCAGCAGCACGTTTCCCCCCGCTCCTCCTTCATGCTCCTGCACCTGTCCTGGCCGGACGGAGTAAGGGCTGCCTCCGAAACCCTGAACCCCAAACCCTGAATCCTTCACCCTAGGCCCCGAAGCCGTAAACCCTGAACAGCCTGAGTAAGAGCGGCGGCTGGGTAGGCCATGCATCGAATCGACACCAAGCTCCAAGAGTTGGACGCCAAGCTCGAAGGCAGCCAGGGCGCCCAGAAGGCCGAGTTGGAGAAGGACTTGAGTGGCTGGCGGTCGTAGGAGGTTTCAGGGTTTCAAGGTTGAGGGCTCAGTTGCTGTCTTGGGCGTGTTGAGCTCAGGGGTTAAGGCCTAGGGCTTAGGATTCATCTTGGGTTTTTGGGCAGTAGCCGTTTTTCTGCTTTGTCTTTGTGGTGTTTTTGGCGGTTCGTCACAGGGAGTTAGGGTAATGGTCTTGTGCTTACGAGTTGGACAAGGACCAGAAGCCCTTTGGTTTGGTCGAGTTGTTGTAGGATGAAGTAGGCCTTTGTTTACGAAGAAGCTGGATGTACTCAAGACACGAAAAGTCGAGGGTGCTTGCTTCAGGCTTCGACGAGTTTGGGCCTTGCATTTTCGAGGTGAGGCATTATTGTTTGCAAAGCTGGTTGACGAGCTTTTAGTTTGGGTCCTGCTTCTCTTGTTCTGGCTATGAAATTTCGGGCTTTGACTCAAGTCTTGATGCTGGAGCTACAAGGACCCAGGCCACCGGGGATACAAGGGGCTTTGATTCGACATGTCCTGACGCTTGATGGTTGGCATGGGCTCAGGGGCTTTGAGCAAGTTTGGACCCAGGCTCTGCTAGCGCATTCATAGTCACGCTAGCGCAGATCACCATGCCGTTCTTCGTTATCATCTGAAATCGTCATTGGCATTCCTTTGTAACCCCTTTGTTGCGCTTCTTACGCCAGAACTTAGTGCTTGTAAGTAATCCTAGTGGAAAAATGGTGGAATGGAACCCCTATGGAATACCCACCAGTTTTTCTATCCGTTCCTCCATTCCTAACTAACAACCAGCGAGATGAAAGGGATGTCATGCATCGAGGACATCAAGGCACGTGAGAAGCAGCTCCTTCCGCTCTACACCTCCGTGGCCACAACGTTCGCAGATCTCCACGACCGCGCTGGGCGCATGAAGGCCAGGCTTTAGGCTTTGGAGTGTCCTATGAAATGTTTACGCTGGAGAGTTGCAGGTTAAGGCTTTCAGGGTTTAGGGTCAAGAGTCTTGGGGTTGAGGGTTCTAGTATTTTATTTAGGTTTCAGAATTGAAGGGCTCAGGAGCAGGGCCAGACGATGGGCTCGTCATAGTGGGATTGTATGAGTGTGTGTCTGTGTGGCTCAGATTCAGATCATCGTTTGAAAAGGTATGAAGACTTTCAGGCTTAGCTGAGCTTGGAGAACAGCGCTGAGATTCTAGAGGGGTTGTGTGGTGTAACCTATGGATATTTGGCATGTGTAGCCAGGCAGCGCAGGCAGCGATTGGAGACAGTGATGGACTAGAGAGGAATTTTATTGCTTGGCGTAATGGTTTCCGGTTGGAGTAGTGTAGAGCTCACAGGCAAGAGGAGTTGCCATGCGGTGTTATGCTATTGCATTTTCGAGGCGAAGAACGTTGTCCGCGACAGCGTTTGCTGGAAGGATTCCCGGCGCTATTTCTTCTGGCGCGCAACTGGGCAGTCTAATGGATAGGTTCTGGGGATAATGTATTTTCTGTCGGGCTATGGGAGTACATATAATGGCAATTGCGGTAGATTATTCCAGGGTATTATGCTGTAAGACTTTCCTTTCGACAACTTTCATGCAGTCAAGTCACACACTTTGTGGTCTTTTCTTTGGGAATCTTGAGCAAGAGGGGCGAGGATCGTATTTGGGGACATTTTTTTCATATAGAGTGGGACCTCTATCCTCTTCTCGGGTGCAGTATTTTATAAGATGATAGAAGCTTTCTTGGTTCAAACACGTAGAAGATGCTGCTCAGGTGAAGAGGAGGGTCTTGCAGGACCACATGATCAAGCGACTCTCGACGTGGAAGTGGTCTATCAAACCTGTGAAGGGCTGTTGCCCTATGCGACCCAAATTCGGATCAGCATGGCGAAAGCCGTAGTGGGGGTCTGTGCAATTCCTAGGGGGACTTGATCGTATAGACTCCTCTTTCAATCAGGAATTGCATTCCCTCATGACCATCGTATGCACATTATCCCTCAACACCCTGTTCTCATAATGTCAGCCCTTCCTTCACCTAGACCTTGACTAAGCCCGAAACATGCAGGCATAACAGTCCGAACCCCCCCCAACAACAGACAGGAAGTTTTGCCCTTGCATAGCCAACCCCCATCCCCAATGCCTTGAAGCAGGCTGTGGCCTCTTTGTTGGCGTGTCTTCCGTCCTAGAACCTCCCTGATTCTGAAAGTGCGTTCCCATTTGGATTGCTACTATGTTGCAAGGCGCGCCCCTAAAATGATTTTCCGTTTTTGGCGGCAAAGGTTCAAAATTGCGGTGTTTTGTATGGCCCATATGAAATGACTACTGCGCCGTTCCAAAAGTTCGACCCACTCTCTCAAACCAGGTATTTTGTCCAACTGGGCACAACAAGTAACAAACCCCTCCTCACCCCATAGACTCCCAGCCCTGAGCCTTGGAGCCTCCGCTGGGACTGGATACTTGTAGTATTACATTTTAAAAGCAGGGTATTAATTTCTCCGCTAGCAGGGCCAATGAAAACGGCATGTGGGGCCCCTCCACTACTCCACAAGATGTTTGCATTACAGTCAACATTCTACAAGGCCCGGTAGCTCAAAACTTTCGGAACGCCGATGTATTGCAAGGCCTCTCCCTATTTTGAAAAGCACATCAGGATGTGCCAGGGATCCTGCTATACCCAAATCGCGACAGCTGTGTCTAAACTGATTACACTTGTACCCTCATCTTCAGGGCACGCCAGCACTGCCTTCAGTCATGTTTTGTTATTTATATGAGCAGTGCGCGACTAGCTCACTAAAAAGGTCGCCATCGCATGGGTGGGTAGCCATGTCACTTCAGTGAGCACATGAGTCTCCCAAACCTTAAAGCATCAACTGTAAACCCTAAATTCTGCACCGGTTTGGGCAACATCTGGTCATCAACACAGCTACAGCCCACTCCCAGCTGATTGCTGTGCATCCAAGGATTGCAGAAGGCTGACACGACCTTGACCCACAAGGCCGCGCATAGTTTGAAAGGGCTGGTTCAGCTGTTCAGGGTACTATTAGTGGTCTTTTTGAGTAGTTTCCGTTTGCTTCACGGACATCTTACAAGGATGGGGCATGCTTGGACAACACTGCGGGAGATCAGGAGCATCAACACACTAGTGCAAGCGTGGCCTTCCAAGAAGAATTGCTGCGCGGGTCGCCCTTATCACCGCTACACCTAGACTCCTACAGGTTCCTATGGTGATTCTGCAGTGATTGGTGTAAGGCCTGCACCCAAAGTTCGATGCCAATCTTCCTGTAGCCGGCACAGCACAGTCCGAAAAAGCCACAGATGGCTCATATTTGGGATTTCCAACAATGGGGCGTCCCAAAAAAAGAGTCCGCACAACAAGGATTGAGGCATATAAGATTATCAAGGCTTTGGAAAGCATCCATTTAAAGCTTCGTCCACACTGAGCGGCCCCCGACCGACATTTTGATTCAACGCTTCCTTGAAACTTCATGGAAGTCGGAAGCTACCCTAAGCCTGAAGCCCTAAACCCTGAACCAGTATAATCCAATGCACGAAGCCCTAAATGAAGAATAGTTCCAGCTGGGTTGTTATCAGGGAGGTATGCTCAGATAAGGATCACATACTGCACATGTATGGGTAGTGGAGTTATGTGAGGTTTACACAGGCATCCAATCATAGTACCCAATGGGACACCTACCACCTGAAACCCCCTCAAGTTGCAGACTATTCTGGCTTCATCCTACGCGTAGGAATCTAATTGGTAGTTTACCAAAATAAGGGGACCCCAATATAGACCCCAAAATACTACAGTCCTTAATATGGAGGACCCCAAAAAGGTACCCCTAATTTTGGGAACCCCCCAATTAAGACCTGTCCTCCCAAGCAAAACAGCTAGGCATTGCCTGCTCTTACCCAGTGACCTAAGACCCATATCTTGGAACCACCGGAGGCTGGCGAGGCGCTGATTCAGAGTTGCTGGGGAAGACTTGAGCACAGCTTTTTTGTTTGGACACCTGGAACCCCTATCTTACGCCCAAAGAAGTTCGATGCCTGCTTAAGCCCTACCTGCTAACTGAAGCCGTTATGGCTATTTTATGTCAACGAAACCTGAAACCCTGACAATGAGTTAGGTTGGGCCACGGAGTGCCACGTAGATCTTGCTAGTGACATGAAGATGGTCAGTTGGCTCGAGTCCCAGAACGTGGAGGCCCATTGACCCTGCAGTACGAGTAGGGTTTACTGGGAGGTTCGGGGTAAGTCTCTGGCAGTTATCACCCAGTTCTTCCAACGTAGTCATAATTCAATAATGCACGCATATACGCCAATCATGAACACGTTAGGAGACAAAGGTTGTGCATAGTATGTTGCAATACCAAGAAACTCCTGGAAGGATCTAAGCACCTTGAGAGGAAGTCTTTTCATGCAGTCTTTCATGAATCCACGTCTGACAACACGTTTCTGAAGAAAAGGTCAAGAAGTGGGGTTGTTGCATGACCGTGGCTGAAACGGATTGATACATTTCGTTTTGATTGAGTGAGGACCAAGCCCTCGAGGGTCACACACAAAATTCGGGAAGCTTTCTCAAGCTAACTCGTGCGGATCGTGCGGAGATGCTTATACTGCGAAATCAGGATGACAAAATATCTTACCAATCATCACCACACAACGCCTGCTAAAGGGCGCACGCTTTTGAACCAGTCTACACAGCTCTGTTATGCCCTCAACCTGTAGAGGGGCCAAAAAGAAGCCATCTTGACGCAACCAGACACCTACAGCCCGAAGCCGTACCAGTGTGCTATTCGCATGCTGAAGCCTGAAATCCGATTGTAGACCTGGATACATTCACATTCGCCTGTTTGAGGCACATATCCTGTGAACAAGTTGAATGCAGTTTGCTACAATAGTCGTTGTCAAACCAGAGTAGAGCTCGCACGCAAATTTGGTCATTTCTCTACAAAGCCCCCCCACTGTATTTCTGGAAATGGATTGAACTTATCACTGCTGCAAAAGCCAATAATTTG